GGTATGTCAGAAAAGATGGTATGGACTGGCTATGAAAAAAAAACATTCAGACTTGTTACCATATATTCTACATACCCTAACTTCTATATAAATATTTAGTGAAAAAAATGCATATTATGTTAAGAAAATTATGGTAAACTTCACTTCCCAAGTTGAGGGTTTGAGCTTGAGAGAGAGAGCACTAATTAACAAATCATAATACTGTATATATCAAATATCTATGACAGTATATTCTCAAGATGTGTATGCCACATTACTCACTGTTTGTCAATCTTGTTGAAACATATGTGAGGTTGTGAGTTCAAGATATCAACAGACATACTACTGGAAGATTGCTGTCTACAGGTTTAGTTTTGTGCCAAAGGGGGTGTATAAAGTTCATAAAAAAACTTATGTGGGATAATAGTTCTAAGAATTGTTAACTACATTCTATAAAGATAAAATCAAATTAAAATTAAATAATGGCAAAAGGTGGTGGGAAATAGAGAAAATAATAGTGTAGCTCAATATAAAGGAAACCAAACCAATATATATATAGAGAGAGAAATTGAAGGAAGAATAATACAAAGAATGTAAAGTAAGTTTAATCATGAATTTAGTTTTGAAAATCTTTTCAGAGACTTGCAAAGGTCAACAGGTTTTTCTTTTAGCTTAGTTGGTAGTGAGTTAGACTAAGGACACTAGTGTGAGCCAAGGGCCTCAAGTTCAACCCTAGTGCAAAGCATGTTTTCTTAATATCTTGATTCATTATACTGGGCAGGTATATACAAAGATATCATTATTCATTAAATATTCAAAACTTTAAGACATCTTTGTCAAGACTTCAAGTCAAATTGATAAAATGTATTTTTTTTTCTATAGATAGCTTTTACTCTTTTTATGTTAAATGTTAGAAATTAATGTAAATTTTCATTATAATAAACTCAAAGATATATATAATTTCAATAAAGCATTATCAATGGTGTGGAATTTGTGAAAATTTATTGTCCAAGAGACAAAACAGCTGTTCAATTTTGTTGGGAATGACATATTCTACAGTTTGCATCAAACTTCTTCATATATATTCATTTATGTACTTATGGTTTTTAACATTCATTCATTAGGATTTGACAGTACAGCATATAGAATACCCCATTAGTGTTAGAATTAATGTAAACCATGATTTATTTATGCTTATTCAGAATTATTTATATATATATATATATATGACAGTTTAAAGCTTTTCATAATTTGTATTATATGTTCTTCTTAGTTAGAAGCCATACAATTCTAAGCTCATACTGCAGGCAAAAGTAATATAATAAAATAATATTGTTGTATTAATTTCAGTATGAATTTTGTGTGAATTAGGATTTGTGAATTATAAGAACACATATATATTTGTGTATATAGTTTTGGTTTTAGGTTTAGAGGTAAAAATATTTAAATGTTCATATGCATGTGCTAGATATCCACTTTTCAGAAATTTTAGAAACTTGTGTGGCTCAGTAGAAATTTACCCAGTGTTTTTCCAGAAATAGGATAAAAAATGGGAAAAACAAATAAGCCAATTGTTCAACTAGCAAAGCATAATGATATAACTTGTTTTCCTTCAAACATATATTCATGTCTCTGGTGCCAGGAGATATGAATCCACCCCCCCCCCTTCCCTGCTGAATGGAAACAAGTGTTGGGTCAAACAGACCTGAAACATAATAAAAATAACATCTCAGTAACCTCAACACAAATCACATACATCACTAATATCATTTAATATTTCCAAGAACACAGTGTTAATCTCATATTTGTTATTCATTAACTTATGCCACAATTCTCCTAGAAAGTAACTATTTATAAAGAATCAGTAATAAGTAAAAACAATTCTGTCCTTACTCAGGCTTTAAAACAGTCCCTAGGGCTCATACTAACACAGTTACCAACACTTACCTACTGAGTTACCAACTTATGCATCTAAACCTATTCTCATACTCATACATATTGGTAAAACAATCTCGCATTTTGGTCATATTTGCAGCTTTCTACACTGCCTTGTTATTGGTTGACCAGCTGGATCCAGATCAAGTTCAGGATCATATTAGTCCAGGAAGCATACCAGGTTGCACCATTTTTCTACATTACTCTATTTTCAAGCTTTACTAAAACAGTTATTTGGTTAAGGAAGAATCTCCCTAACCTTAAAAAACAAACTGGTCAGCTTAAGAATTTCTTATTCACATTTGTTAGCAAAAACAATAGTAAATAATACTTAACATTTTACTCCCTTATTTGATAATAAGGTACCCTTTAAAATATCACGTTGGTTATAAATAGTGTGGCGTTTTACAAATTGTCCACAACATTGTCATGGCTAGCTTACACCAGTATAGATGAAGACACACGACACCAAATCACTTTAACAACTATAAAACCTGAGCTAGCTACAAATCCATGTACTACATTCTTGAAAATTACTTTACATTCATGCTTGTACTCTACTGATAATGTTAGTCCATGTCATCACATGCTAAGGTCACACCACCGGCCTAATTGATTCCCAACTTGTAGTGCCAAAACCACTTGCACATCCTACTCACTCTAACACCACTGCCAAATTCTGTGGTACACTAATCTTTTAGCATACTAGAGAATGCCCAGTCTTATATACTAAAATCTTAGCTTGTGGGATCAAATACTGGCTGTGTCAGTTTACTTGACTGGCCATGTTAAACTATCAAAAAGGTATGTATCTTAAATTATAATTATTATATACAATGAGCACCAATAATAATAATTCAACTCTTATAGTTAGAGATTAAATATGGCAAATTTTAAACAATACAAATACATGAATAACTAGAGGAGCACTCTGTAGAATGCATACCTCTGTCATACAGGGTTGATTATATTTGGCCCTCAAAAGATACGAAAGTGTCATATATCATATGTCCTTCATTATCAATGGACATGGACAATTTTTGACAAGACATTAAGGAATAATATTCTACATACGACTACCAAGTTTCATTTTTGACAAAGTTATAGAGCAAAAATAGTGTGAAAAATCAGTCCCCATGTTAACAAATAGGGATTATTTTGATTTTCGTGACTTTGCTGTGTCCTTGACCCTCTAAAAACTAATTACTTCTGAGTTGGGTCATAATCCAAATGTATACCAACTTTCATTCAAATCCATTCAGATGTTTGAGAAATTCATCTGACAAACACACCCACACACAGGGGTGAAAACATAACCTCCATCACCTTCAGTGGCAGAGGTAATTATGAATGAAATGAAAGAATGAATCTTATGTATAATGTAAATTAAAAGAGTACACTTTATTGAATGGTGATGTGCAAGCTTGCATTTGTGTATTAACAGATTCTTCACAATAGGAACACACTCAATAGCATGACTGAAAAAAGAATTTGGGCATAGTAGTATATAACTATAAGACACTTAAGCCATAAAGGCAGTTCTCTGTTGTTATAGTAACATAGGTAATATAATTTGGGGTGTATTTATAGAAATATTGAATATAAATCAAAAGAGGTAATTATATCTTTATAATTTTTCAGGCCATATTTCATGTTCTAAGTAAAAAAAAATTACATAATCCAAATAAGCCTCAATCAGAGCTTTCTTAACCTTTTTTTCCCCCTCTATAACCCTTCGTATCTGTCAGTTTAAAGTTTTATTTCATGTTATTGTAAACTTAGTACTTTTGACTTATTATACATTTAATTATTCTGCTCATCCATTTTGGGAGTCTCTAACTTTTAATGGATAACAAGACTATTTGTTTCTGCAAGGTCATTCAGTGGGAATGCAAACATGTGATAAGAATTTATCTTTCTTCAGCCAGCTTGATTGAGCTTACAAAAATATCCTAATCATCATTAAGATTCTTTCTATTCAGTTAAGCACTCATCTATTCTCTCTCAAAATATTATGCAGTTTATGAAACTCAGCATTTCTAAAATCTGTTAAAAATAAACACATTTCACTGAATCTCATATATTTTTCAGAAATCTTCTGTTTAACAATGAACAAATAACAAAAATATTCCATACCAAGTACTTAATTTAAAAATTATTTTTCTGTAAGAAATAATATTTGGAGAAAACTAAGAACTTACCTAACACAGATTCCAAAATCATTGTAATTTTAATTCCTTTACTTGTTGCTAGGTTTAAGTATATCTTCAAAAAATTTAAACTGTAACTCTTGTAAAACTAAGTAAGTTCACACACACATGTAACAAGTACATACTAATAATATATCAATATATATTAACCGACTCTTCTGGAGCCAATTATATTATATCATTGTATTAACTTTAGTTTGATTCCGTTTACATGTACATGAACTGCAATGAAGAAAAAGAATTATATGAACACATGATATAACAATTTTAAATGTTCACTTTTTCGTTTTATTAAATCATCGATTTATAAATCGGTATATTTTATAAAATGTGCACGCCAGTTTACTAATATACACTTCGTTTCATAAAACTACAAAATTATTTTCTACACGTACATGTCGATTTATAACTTATAAGTCGAGACATGATTTAACTTTAAAGATATAAAAGGGAGATTATAAATCATAATGCTTATTTACTTAATCCACAATTATTTCTCACCCTTCTTTCAAACTTACAAATAGCAGTGACATTTATGAACAACGTATGAAATATATAAATTTCAAAGTCACATTTAGCGCATCATAATGTCACTATACTGTTTGTAACAGAAAACACTGCTTCTACTTTTCCATTAATACTATCATAGTAATAGTAACATCGAACGAGAGTAAAAAACAAACACACACACTCACGCAAGAAAAGAACTTGCCATGAAAAACGTTTTAAACCGAACATCGGGCAGAAATACATGTATAGCCTGAAGAAAATATACATTAAAAAAGAAAAATGCTTTTATGCGTGATTTATGTCTTTATTAAATGTTTAAATCCAAACACGTGTACAATGAAAACGCCATCTATTGTGTGATTAAAACAATTTTTGAAATCTTTGTTACTTTACGTGTGTGTGTATAATCTGTAAAAACATTAATGCAGTCAGATATATCAAAATTTTAACATCATTTTTTGTATGCAGGATTTATGAGAATGACGTTATTCATATTTAATGAAACATTTAATTGCGAAAGTGATGTCATGAAAGAAAGAACTATCATTTTATAGTCTAACTAATAGAGCTTTGTGGTTGCGCTAGCGAAAATGGCGTCTGTTGAGGAAGATTGCCATAACAACCCGAATTTTGCAGTAATATGTTCCTTTATTATACAATTTGGAGAGACATGCGGGATCAATCTTACCATTGAAAGGTTACAGGAAATGCTGGAAGACACTAAAACTTGTAAGTTTTTGCGAAATTACCTTTGTAAATAACCGCAACTAGTGTCATATAGTAATTATAATTTACCTTGAATCTTTTCAGGCGTTAGGCTTAGCACAAGAAGCTTACCTATCAATGTCGGTAGGATTAAACTTTAATTTGCTAGGACTGGGAAATATAGTTATATAATTTTATTTGTTATCTTTTAGGCTTTCGATATGAGAGACAGTGGTTATTAAGATATAAATCTGTATAAGTATAAACTGTTACAAGTAGTTTTTAACTTTATAATTTTGTATATCAAGGTATTATCGTTACTATACAGTATATTGTCACTGATTCGTGTTCATAATCATAGAATCTTTGAAAAACGTCCAGTTAATGAAGAGTAATTGAAATTGATATTGGTGAAACTTTAATTTAATGTAACGTGTAATTATATTATAGAACAGGTTATTTAGCTATTACTGGTGTTAGTAGAGAACATTTCTTTGTAATTCAGTGCTATAGTTAATGTTCTTAAGCTTAACCTGTTCTGTTTTTCATTCTTAATCTTATAAATATAATTAATTTATACAGCTCTTGTTGTTATTTCATATGTTTTCCCTTTTCAGTTCAGATTTTTATTAAAAGTTAAGACTTATAATGTATGTTCACTATTTCTAATCATTTGTGGGGAGGGAGGTATCAGCTGTGACCCACATGACTTGAACAGAAACTGTCAGGCTGCATTTCATTTTCAGTGATAATCAGGAACATTTGAGAAGTTATGGGTTTTCTGTTGTGTAACAATTAACATTGAATTTTTAAAAGTGCTTAACTTTATTAGTTGAAAAACAACAACAACAAAAAAGTTAAATTGAAATTGCTTAGCTAGAATGTATGTTTTGAAAGGCATAACATTATTGTGTAGTTTCATTGTAAAACATAAGAATATGTGATAGACTGTAAAAATGTACTTATAATCTATTAGTTATGTGTACTAAGTACTGGTTAAAGAAAATTGGGGAAAATTGGTTTGATTAGTAAGTCATATAAGAATATGATACACACAATTTTGAAACTGGAGAATTATTATCTACATATACCAGAGTTGCTATGGATTTTGCACCATACTTACTAAGTTGAGGAAATGATATTTGAAAAACAGTTAAATTAGGAAACATACTGAAGGTATTTTTTTATGATAAGAAACTATAAATAGTGTAATGACCACGAAAAAAGTAACCTTTTGTAAGATTGGTGAGGCTTCATTAAGAGTGCAGAAAAGATATAAATATGTTAAGGTAATAGAATGATAAGTGATTTAATATGAACAACTTTATTAAAAATATCTTCCTGAAAATATCTGTAATGCATATTTGAGGCACAAATTACACATGATATTTATTACTAGAGCTAGGCAATGAGCAGTATTTGCTAATCAGTTATTCAACAGGATCATTAATTGATTACATTCAATTAATCAATTGTTAAGTGCCCCCTATATCCTGTATGAAAAAACAACAAATTTATATGTGCTACCTTAATGAAATTTTCAACCACTGCATAATCATATGGTACTAATCTTCCTTTCTTTATTTCACATGGATTTAGTTTTACTTAGATAATTTTGAAATTACACTTGATTTCATATGATAGACTTCTTCTGGAAGTGTCATTTATGCATTTTGTGAAAAACTTTTTTTCTGAAATAAAAAAACAAAAAAATATTTTGTCACAAGTTTTAATGAATTGCTAATGTTGACCAAACACCACTATGTGGTAATCTAAACATACTTTACAATCATCAATAAGAGTCAATAATGTTTTTATTTAAAAATATCAATATTACAATTACAAATAATTAAGTAGCCAGTTAGACAATTTATTTTTATATGTTGTTTAAATAGGATAAACACAAAAATAATATTCAATAAAAATTTAAGTCATCAAAATATTTTGAAATTACCTGCCTTACTCAGTAAACTTATGTGATTTGATAACAATTTTATTTGATGAACATAATAAAAGAAACTCATGTTTACAAACATTGGAACTCAATAAAACCATAGAATATCTATTGAAAAGTAAAAACAGCATAATTTCAAACATACAATCAAAGATCAGCAAAATACCTTTATTAAGCCTCAAGCAATTTCCAGTCATGTAAATTCTTTCTGTATATATATATATCCCTGTGTCTAGGTGAACTACTTGTATTTGGTGATGACAAAACCTTCTCTAAACATTATACATTTGTTACTCTGTTAAGGTTCTAAAAAAATTTTTGTTTCCCATTCAACCCATCTCTAAACTGTATAAGCTCAAGTTATCTGATGTTTTCTTA